AGAATTATAACAGAGATGTGCCTGGATAAGGCACACTGGCCAAGGACATGAGAGACAGAGGAAATACATACACACAGCCCCTGCCAGGCAGAAACTCAGTAACTTCTATCCAAATGATGCAGCCAGGTAACTCTTCTCCTAATGGACATCAAGTTGAGAATTAAAAGGAAAAAGAAGAGCACAGTGTTTAGAAAAATAGGTCCTACAGGCTCTTCTCTCTGCTGCTTCCACTCAGGAAAGGTTCTTCTAGACTACTTTTAGTACAAGAACCTTGTACAACCAGTTCGGCTACAAGTATGCCCGCTGCCCTTCCACAGCCCTCATTAGTTGACTCTGACCTGTTGAAAAGCTGAAAATAGAACCTGGAGCCATCTTCTCTGCAGCTCACCTCCTATAACTATCTGTCTTTCTAAATATTAGCAGTAGCCTAGTTTACTGTCATTTTTAAAATACTTGTCCATTTTTACCTTTTCTTAACACCATCGACCACCACACTACTTTTCTTCAGGGAAAGGTTTTTTATGTAAAGAGAGAAGTGATTTTCTTTTTATTTCTTTTCTCCCTAGACAGCTAGAGATATTACTTAAAAAAAAAATTTCTTGAGGTCTTTTATCCTTGGTTAAAATCGCTTAGAAAAATCAGTAGGGAAGAATAGAATATTTCCTTAGCTACCCATTGGCTATAGTAACTAAAGCCCCAAAAAATCCATTTCGTACTTCCTATTAAAATTTTATAAGCATTAAAAATATTCACTTGGATGCTGCATGGGGTTTTTTTCTTTTGCATCACAGCTGAACTTTTTCATTCTGTTATCTTTAGCCTGGCTGATTTTTCTTAATTTCTTTACTCACTTAAAAATTTGTTTGAATCAGTAAGTGAACTCCTGGTGGGGAACAGTGGCTCACAACTGTAATCTCAGGGCTTTGAGAGGCTGAGGCAGGAAGATCGCTTGATGCCAGGAATTCAAAACCAGCCTGGGCAATATAGCGGGATCCCATCTCTACAAAAAAATTTTTTTTAATTAGCCAGATGTAGTGGTATGTGCCTATAGTCCTAACTACTCAGGAGGCCAAGGCAGGAGAATCACTTGAGACCAGAAATTCAAGACTCCAATAAGCTACGATCACACCACTGCACTCCAGCCTGGGCGACAGAAACCCTGTCTCTAATAAATACTAAATAAATAAATAAGCTCCCTGTTCTGTTTAATAAACCAGTGGCCTTTGAATTTTCCAACAGGCCCACCCTTGGCAACACAGTGATGGATGGACAACACATAATAAACTGTTTACCCTGAAATGCATTTTTATCTGATTTCAAAGGCTTCCCAGCATTAGATGACAGGCTTCCTACAAATCATAACTAATATTCACCTCAACTTCCTTTTCCAGCTCTAAAGCAATACAAATGCCCTCTCTGGTATCCGTGGACTAATATTTCCCTAGCCCCCAGTTCTTACTATATCCTTAGCTTACGCCAACGGGGCTGAACATTTTTTGCAACTCTTTATGGGCTTTTAAAGATCAGTCTTTTCAGGAATCTTATTTAAAACACGAATTCCCAGGCCTCATCTTTCACAGACTCTGATCTGGTAAATTTTCACAGGATCCAAGAGTCTGCATTACAAGCTGATTTTTGCTGGGAGGACAACTAGCACCTGCAAAAATAAAAATAGCAATACAGCAACGAAAATTATTGCAAATAATAAACAATATAGTCTAACTATTTACATAGGATTTACATCGTATTAGGTATTACAAGTAATCTAGAGATGAGCTAAAGCTTATGAAAATAAGGCCGGGCGCGGTGGCTCACGCCTATAATCCCAGCACTTTGGGAGGCCGGAGCAGGTGGATCACAAGGTCAAGAGATCGAGACCATCCTGGTCAACATGGTGAAACCCCGTCTCTACTAAAAATACAAAAATTAGCTGGGCATGGTGGCGCGTGCCTGTAATCCCAGCTACTCTGGAGGCTGAGGCAGGAGAATTGCCTGAACCCAGGAGGCGGAGGTTGCGGTGAGCCGAGATCGTGCCATTGCACTCCAGCCTGGGTAACAAGAGCGAAACTCCATCTCAAAAAAAAAAAAGCTTATGAAAATATGTGCATAGGTTATATGCAAATACTAACTATATTATTCTTTCTGCAGTCATAATAGTTCCACCTCCAGCATTTTCCCCCACCACTCCTAGATCGAGGTCCCCAACTCAGGAGCTGATTGACCATCTGCATTTCAAAGAATCACATAAAAGCCATAATTAGGGAGCTAATGCCTTTGCATGTATTTCAGAATCACCAACAGCATAGATTACATGAGTTAATTGCATCAATAAATTCAGCTGCCACACTATTTTTCACCTGAGTCTAATCAGAAATACAGAACAACATGTGCCAGAGATCAATGAATTACAATCGGAAGCAGGGACCCCAGAAAAGCAGGGGACAGTGGGATTATTTGCCCAGGTGTTGGGTCATTTCTCCAAGAAATCTAATCAGAGGCAAATAGCACATACTTTTTCAGGGAAGGGGGAGGACAGTATTGTTCAGTACGGTAGCCACTAATCACATGTGGTCACTGAGTGCCTGACACAATGGCGAGCCTGAGTTGAGATCTGAGATGTGCTGTAAGTGTAAAATACATGTGGGACTTTGAAGACTTAGTACAAAATAATGTAAAATATTGCAATAATTTTTATATGATCAAATGTTGAAATGAGAATATGTTAGATTGTGTGTTTCCTATTGTTAGCATAAATTAGTGGTTTTAAACAACGTAATGCATTATCGTACAGTCCTGGAAAAGTCAGAAGTCTGAAATGGATCTAACTGAATTAAAACCGAAATGTCGACAGGGCCGCATTCCTTCTGGAGGCTCTGCAGAGAATCTGCTTTCTTGCTTTTTGCAGCTCCTAGGGGCCACCTGAATTCCCGGGCTCGTGGTCCCCCTTCTTCCATCTTCAAAGCCAGCAACATGCCATCTGTCTGACCATTCTTCTAAAGTCAAGTCTCCCTGTAACCACAGCCAGGAAAGGTCATCTACTTTTAAGGACTCATGTGATTATATCAGGCCCAGATAATTCAGAATTATCTCCCATCTTAAGGTCTTTAACTTAGCCACATCTGCAAAGTCCCTTTTGCCATGTAAGATAACATATTCACAGGTGGCAGGGATTAGGACATGGACATCTTTGGGGGGGTCAGTATTCTGCATACTACATGGACATATTAGGTTAAAGACCAAACGTTATTAAGATTATTTTCACCAGTTGCTTTTTCTTTTTTAAAGGGTCTCCTAGAAATTTTTTAAATTACATGTGTCTTACATTACATTTCTACATTTCCAGTGGAAATGTAATGCTAGCCTAAAGTCTTTCTGATCACTGAAATTCACTACATGGACCATTTTAGGGTGTCCAGACCCTCTCTGGAGAACAAGGGCACCACCCTAAGGTGACCTCCACTCCCAAAACACGGCCACGTGGCATATACTCAGGGCTGTGTGAATGTCCTATGCCTATTTGCTGCGGAATTACCACTAGTGTCCCTGCTTACTCTCAAAATGTCCAGTTTGGATAATCCATTAAATGATCACTCTACTCCTGTGTTATATTTGAAAATGGAGCTGCCCAATTATCCATCAAGAGGAGCTTTGTCGGTCTTCCCCAGGCCTCTTTGTGTGTAAGGGCTCCATCAGCTTGCTGACAGGTACACCCACATCCGCAGGCCATGAGCAAACTGATAGGATACCAGCTAATTCAGTTCTTTTTTTCTTTTTTTTTTTTTTGAGATGCAGTCTAGCTCTGGTGCCCAGGCCAAAATGCAGCGGTGCAATCTCAGCTCACTGCAACCTCTGTCACCCAGTTCAAGCGATTCTCCTGCCTCAGCCTCCTGAGTAGCTAGGGTTACAGGCATGCATCACCACTCCCAGCTAATTTTTTTGTATTTTTAGTAGAGGCAGGGTTTCGCCATGTTGGCCAAGCTGGTCTCGAACTCCTGACCTCAAGTGATTCACCCACCTCTACCTCTCCCAAAGTGCCGGGATTACCAGCATGAGCCACCACCCCTGGCCTACTTCTGAGTTTTTAATGATTCTTTGTTGTTGTCATTTTATAATTATAAAAATAGCACACTAACTACAAAAATACAATATTATAGTAACCTATAATGTAGAATCTCCTATAATTTTCCACACGTACCCCAGTAGATAACCACTGTTCACAGTTGGCTGAATATTCCTCCAGATATTTTCTTCTCCACGTGACAGGTTTGGTTGAAAAGTCTCAGTTCAGTGGCAAACAAGCATGAAGCTGGCTTTCTGCTCTTGGACAAGCTCTCCATACTCATTCAGGAAGACTGCATTTAGCCCAATCAGATTACACTCAATCATCCAGTAATATTTATGGCCATTCCAGTTTCAACTTAAGCTTTTTTTCCTTTAGTTAACACTCAATGAAATTCAAGAAGTATAACTCTTAATGGTCAGTTCAAACAAAATCTCAGTCCAGAGTTCATGCCCCATCCAGGAGAAGCTTTTGAAGATGCTTCAGATAGAGAAGGCATGTTCTCCCATGCCCTCTTCTCTTTGTTCCAGCACTACTTCTGGATTCAGAGTCCAGAGTGCTCCCCATTACACCATGGAAGCTCACACTATGTTCCAGCACTACTTCTATGGTGTGCATGCCAGTGCTTTTATGTGTGTATATATACTCATGCATGTGCATGTGTGCATGAGTGTATGTGTGTGCCTCTGTGCACATGTGCATTTTCAGGGCGCAGTTCCCTTTCCGCTGACCATCACTACCTCTCAGTGCAGATGTAGTCATTGAAAGCTGGTGCTGTCTATCTGGCTGTTTGTCCCATAACAAGGATTTCTGCCCAGCATGTTCTTAGAGAGGCAACATGAGCTACCAAGCAATGTTCACTCATCAGGCACAAGGCATGGCAACATTGCTTCTCCTTTCCTCTCTGCACCACCCCCGCCCCCCGCCCCGTGGTAGGCACTGTACTCCTCCTATGTTTACCAAACATATTTTGCTTTTCTACAAGCTTCCTTCTGTGGACAAATTCTCTTAAGTCCTAGCATTTAGAGTAATTATACACAATTACTTCCATTGTTAATGAAAATAGGCATATAATTCTCCATATTTGTGTAATTGTGACTTAAGACAAAAAAAACTTGAAAAGAGTAGTAAAGGAAGAAAGAAAACTAGGCAAATCTTGCACAGATTATAGACAAGCAAGCTATAAATTGTTCAATGAGAAAGTGATGTCCAGGCCCCTGGAAGCCTGCCGTTAGCACTCACTTGCAGGCAAGGCCAAAATAAAAAAATAAAATGCCTGAGAAGTATCAGAGGAGGGAATCATAAAAATTGCCCAGAGAATATTAGAACAAAACAAAACAAAAAGATGGACTAGGAAAGGGAAAGAGAAGTCTTCCAGAAAATCAACCCAGGAAGTCAAAAATTCAATGACTAGAAGTTTTAAAAGGGAAACAGAAAAAGTAGAGGGAATGAAATTATGAGTAATCATGATGATAATGATAATACATTTCCAACTGAAAATTCTCAGCATAATGAATGAAAAATAAAAGAGTCACAAAAACGCAATTTCAAAACCAAACCTTAAGATTCTAAAAGCTGGCCGGGCGCAGTGGCCCACACCTGTAATCCCAGCACTTTGGGAGGCCGAGGCGGGTGGATCACGAAGTCAAGAGATCGAGACCATCCTGGTCAACATGGTGAAACCCCGTCTCTACTAAAAATACAAAAAAATTAGCTGGGCATGGTGGCGCGTGCCTGTAATCCCAGCTACTCAGGAGGCTGAGGCAGGAGAATTGCCTGAACCCAGGAGGCGGAGGTTGAGGTGAACCGAGATCGCGCCATTGCACTCCAGCCTGGGTAACAAGAGCGAAACTCCGTCTCAAAAAAAAAAAAAGAAAAAATGGATTGCTTTCTGATGAGACAAAAAGTTTAAGAGAGTTTCTTGTTAGGCCTTTGGTAACGTGTTTTAAAACTAGATTCAGACACTATTGTGAGAGAAACAAAAATTTAATTAAAAAGGAAAGCATTGAGGTCAATATATTTAAAAAGAATGGAAAGGAAAAATGGTCCTGTATCATAATAGAATATTTGATTTTTCGAAGTGACTCAAATCTAACATAACACATAGCAAAATAATTGATTTCACATGCTTTGTGGTTCCACATGCTGCCTCAAATAGAGAGGCCACAGGCTGAGGACTGGAACTCCTGTTACCTGGAGACTGTTCAGTGAGATGGTATAGATGGTAGCAGAAAACGGAAAGAAACACTGGGCTGCCCTTACCCAATGTACAATTCCAAGAAGAAAGGAAGAGAGAAAAGAGTGAAGGGAGGGCAGCACTACCTCCCTTCAGAGCTGTACCCCACGCACAGACAATGAGCCTAAGCAAGGCAACCAAGAGGCCCCACAAACGTATCCTTCCACTCTTTGGAACCGTGGCATGGCTGTTCCGCAGAGGACTGCGGGGAGTTTCATGTCAGAAGGTGACTTGATTGAACCCTCTTTCCTCACTCGTAATTTACTTAAATGCCAAAAATCTTAAAGCAGGCTGTCAACAGCTCCATGTAACATTTAAAGCACATGACCCCACTTGTGTCTCTGACTCTCCGTAAGTACTTTAAAAACACATTATCATCTCATCTCATTTTATGGCCGGGTCTTAAAGAAATGCCATTTCTTGAAATGAAATGTTACATGAATCACAGCTGCAAAGTACTGTAATGGGGCCAGCCTGATTGCCTGACACCCCACAGAACACACAAAGGCAAGAAATCTGCTCTCAAAACAAAGGGAAGACATGTCTCTTACAGAATTCCCAGCATCAAGGAGTATCCTGAAAGGGACACAAAAATTTCTGCTCAAAAGTAGAATGCAGATTTCTGAGTCATCCTGGTATGTTCCCCAAATCACCACACAGCTACTGGGTCCAAGTTTGGGGAAGACCTTGACAATGCTCCTGGGATCTGGGTTGTCTTTCAAGACGATGAGGCTGCCTGCAATGGGGACATGTGGCTTAAAATCGCCCTATAAAGTTTGGTGCAAAACTCAAGAGCACTGATCCTAAAGTACCCTGGGTTAAGAGTCTGAAAAAAATGACAGAACTGAGCCTAAAATTGATCCTCCAGTATCTTTAGACAAAAGCTTTCACAGGGGGTCTTCAGTGACAACCCATAGCAACATAGGACAAGGGCAGGCTCCGAGGAACACCCCAAAGCACTCGAAACTGAGCAGGGCCAGCCCTCATGGCATAAAAGCACATCGGATGTCTTATAAGTCATCATAACAGACCTCAGAACAGCCTGGTAATTCCCGGACTTATACCCACCTCCTGAAATCATCTTCCAAAGCCACCATATTCTGACAAGCATTGATTAAAACCTTCCCCTGAGTCCTACCTGTGTCCTGGGTCAAATTCAAATGTCTTGCCAAGAGCTTGCCTCTCTCCCAACACCGCCTCCATCCCTATCATCCATTATGCCCCGCTGGGTGTCCAAGCCTGCGGCCTGGTTGACTCTCCACCACCCACCTACTCCACCATCTCTGAGCTTGCTTTTCCAGGCTGTAGTCTTCCAAACCACACAGCAGCTTCCATAGCCTCCTTGACTAGGTAGAAAGTGCTCACTTGTCCACTAAGTCCCTGTATTCCATGGCTTTAGGGGAATTAAATGGTGTCACGTGTCATGTCTTGATTGTCTAATTCTAATGCAATCCCTCTCAGGTACCTGCTCTCCTAACTTGGTGGAACATCCAATGTCTGTCCCTTCTCCAACCTCACTTTCCTTCCCTCCAATCATCAGGTGCCCACAGGTTCTGGAGGTGGGTGGGGAACTCTCAGCATCTGGCTTCCTCGCTACCCTCGCTCCTTGCAGATGGCTGGGAGATCCACTCTTGTTCTGTCACCAGTGGGCCCTATAACCAGCTTCCTGAGCAAGCCTGTGAAGCTACTCCCCAACACCTAGGCTCTCAGACCACTCCAAAACACTCTGTCACCCCAGGTCCTGCCACCTGAGGGGCCAGGCTCAGTTTTTCTTAGGCTCTTTCCATTCACACCTGAACCCTGGTCCTCTGCAGGCCCTAAATTCCACCTGCACCCTGGGGCCAGCCTGCTTTTCCAACCTTGGAAATGCAAAACCTTCATTCACCTGCCTTTTCTTTAATAAAGGGTCTTAATTGCCATGGGGAAGCATTTGATGGTCCCAACAGACCAGACCCTAGCCCCTAGAATGGGAAAAAGTTGTTTATATTTCTTAGTGGAAGGAAACAGTTAAATTTATTTAAATGCACCATAAGTGCAATTATTATTATTATTATTATTATTTTGAGATGGAGTCTCACTGGGTTGCCCAGGCGGGAGTGCAGTGGCGTGATCTTGGCTCACTGCAACCTCCGCCTCCCAGGTTCAAGTGATTCTCCTACCTCAGCCTCCTAAGTAGCTGGGATTACAGGTACCTGCCACCACGCTCAGCTAATATTTTTGTATTTTAGTAGAGACGGGGTTTCATCATGGTGGCTAGGCTGGTCTCTAACTCCTGACCTCAGGTGATCTGTCCGCCTTGGCCTCCCAAAATGCTGGGATTACAGGTTTGAGCCACCACACCCAGCTCGTAAGTGCAAATTTTAGACAGCACTTCTATAAAACAGAATTATTTTGTAATGCATGTATTTATTCATCAAACATTTATGGAGCCTGCATTGAGCACAGCAAAATGCTGGATGATAGGAATACAAACTAGAGAGACACAGAACTTACCCTCAAGATAGGTCTGGAAAGCAGCCATCAAAGAGACCCCTCCTACGCACCATGATGAAAACCTGTTTATTATCATTTAAAACCATTTATTACTTGTCTGTATGCAGATAGCATATACTTTTATGTCTTGAATTACCTGTGGATTACTTTACTTTTAAAAGAGAGGATTGTAGATAGAATTTCTTTAGGGAAAAGCCCATTAGTACCCAACACCAAAAATACATGAGTTTTCACAGGCTTGTGGTTGTGCAACTGAACACCTCACTCACGGCATTTGCTCCTCTATGACGGGAGGCGCTCCTGCAAGTCCCGTGATTACATTTTATGCAGAAAGCAAGCCAAGCCCAGAGAAGTTAATTAATTTCCACGGAAGGGGCTAATCCGCAGGAAAGAGGCCCAGGTCTCTCACCGGTGAATCATTTACATAAGCAGCTGCTCACCCTTGATTCAAAACTGTGTTCCTTACTGGAAGTGGACAGGAAGCTTGACGTGTTGAGCTGCTGGGAGAAGGGGAGCAATGCTTGGGGGTACTGTGGTCATCAGAATGGGATTTACCCGGAAAGCTGAGAAAACTTAAGCTTTCAGCCGAACCCTTGTGCAAGCTCCTTAGAAAACTAACCCTTCCTATACATTCCAATTAGGAGACTGCAATTTCTCAAGTTGTTATTTGTCGGGATCTGTTTTCTCATTCTGAATCAACAATAGTTGTTATGTTTAAAATACATTTGTGCTGAACTTTAAAAATTCTTTTTCTTAAATAGGGTCCCCCAAATGATGTAAGCTTCAAGCAGCCTGGTTTCTCCTCTGGTTCTCAGTCTACAATTCCGTGTTTGTTCAGTGAGGTGAGGGTGGTTACAGGGCACTGAGGCACAGAGAAGGGAAGCACAGGCCCCTAGCATCCTTCGTCTTGTTGCAGTAGGTAGATAGGCGGACAGGGATGGGGCAGGACAGGGCCCTGAGGAATGTCAGGCAACAAGTGACTGTCATGCGATTGCTGGCAGCTCATCAAGAATGATAAATGGTCTTGGTTGGTGCCAGAGAGGGGAAAACTTCCCAACAACCAGGAAACATCTTGAGCTTATGGGCAACAACTTCCCAGTAAGATCCTAGGAATTGAGCAAACATGTCCAGGCATGTGCATTCAGAGGCAAAATCGCAGTTTGACTGGTGTAAGACCTTCTTCTGGGGGCACTAGACCAGTAAGGAAAAATTGTCCTAAGAGAGCACGTGCATAATGTCAGCCACCAAACAGTGCATGCAGCCCCTCCCAGGAGCTGCCAAGTCACATGGCAATTAGCCAACAGCCCACCTAAGGGAAAGGACGAGGGGAGGAGACCAGGAAGAACCAGGAAATGGTACCTCTATAAGAGCCCTGAGCCAACGATCAGGTGGGGCACTCCATCTTTTGAGTTGCTTGCTTGGTTTCTTCCATGTGTACTTGTCTTTGCTTCAATAAATTCTCATCTCTGCCTTCAATCTGTTTCTGTCTTTACAATGAGTATCTAGCCAAAAAAACATAGGGGAAGTATTGTAGAGGTCTATCAGCTTATTCGGTTATTTTCTGCAATTTATGAAGTTTGTGTTATTTTTGAAATGTGTCATTTGTTGTGATTTCTTTTCCAATCCTAAGTATTCGCTTTGATCACTAATATTGTCTTTGCAGTTTTGTACTATTTTTCTACAAGAAGGCCCCGGAATGATATAAGCTTCAGGCCCCACCAAACCTCCAGCTCCAGAAGCAGCTCCCACGGTTTCAAGAGCCCTTTATTTCCTGTTGATCAAAGTAAAGGAATATTCAGACATTATCCTCTGCCCAGAGGAGAGGAAATTTGGCTGTCTGAAAGATTCTGGGCTAGAGGAGAGAGACAGCCAGGTGGTCCCCGAGGCTCACTTTGCAGGAGTTTGATAAAAGATGCCAACCAGATTAGTGGCTTTAGGAAAAAAATAGAGTATGTCAGTAAGTGGCAGCTGCTTCTTGTACCTTTCAGGAGGACTCAACAGCAAACAGTGAATTGAGACTCAGGTGGCCAGTCTGAAAGCATAGACGGGGAGAAAGAGGATTATATCAAAACCAGTGTTTTCTGCTGTGCTCCTTAATCTCTGTCAACCTAGTTGACTCTCAGGATTGAAAAAACCAACTCTTTCCTGCCAGTGAAGTTTAAAAGATGAAAAAGAAAGAAAGAAAGAGCAGGGGGAACCCCAACTCTCCCTCTACCCAGATTCTAGGGTCAATTGCTTTATCAGTCAGGGCCCCTACTGCAGACAGCAGTATCCACTTTAATTAGTTTAAATGCAAAGAAGTTTCGAAGGATACAGAGCATTCTTAGAATTGCGGGGAAGGCTGCAGAAGCAGGCTGCAGCCGTAGGGCGCTGCCTGGATCAGCAACACACACCTGCGGAGGAGCGGCTCTCTTGGTGGCTTGGTTAAGTGGTGTTGTTTTGGAAGGTGTCCTTAAATCCCACTCTAGGCTCATTTTCAAGCAGAACTCTGGTCAGTGTATTTCACCTAAGAGCAGTGGTGATAATCTGGAAATCTCATCTTTTGCTGTTAGAATGAAAAAGATCTTTCCAGAGTTGTAACAGTAATGTCTGACCCCCTTTGGGGATTTTCTCAAGGACTCCTCATCATAAAACCCAGCAATATTGAGCAAAATGTGTCTGGAAAAGTATCAAAGAATTAGTCAGTGCAATAGGCAGGAACATCGGTCCTGACTGACGCTAGAAGTATTGTGGGGCCCAATAGCCATAATAAGGACAAGGATACAAAGATGGAGTGGTTTGAGTTCCACTACCTTTGTTATTCCGGCTCTGTCTTCCCTCATTGTCTTTATCATGCTGCCTCTTATGCTGCCACTGTTGTCAACAAAGATGAAAAAAATTATGCCATAAATAGGAACATTTCGAAAATGTTCATATTTCCCACTGGAGGTCTCTCCCAAAGCAGGGAGATTCAGTAGTTGACTATTACCATTTTGAATTTTTGAATTTTCTTTTTTTTTTTTGAGGCAGAGTCTTGCTCTGTTGCCAAGGCTGGAGTGCAGTGGCAGAGTCTCGGCTCACTGCAGCCTCCACCTCCCAGGTTCAAGCGATTCTCCTGCCTCAGCCTTCCGAGTAGCTGGGATTACATGTGTGCCCCACCATGCCCAGCTAATTTTTGTATTTTTACTAGAGACAGGGTTTCACCATGTTGGCCAGGCTGGTCTCAAACTTGTGACCTCAGGTGATCCATTCGCCTCAGCCTCCCAAAGTGCTGGGATTACAAGTGTGAGCTACCACACCAACTTGAATTATTTAATATTGTAAAGCAGACTTTTTATTACATGTGTTTGGAACATATGACAAATATCCCATAAGAGCAATACAATACAATAGGTCCTCTGGGTTGTGAAGAGGACCTGCCGTTACAGACAAGTTCAACTTCTGTAATTGTGTGAATTCTTCATGATACACGATTAGCAGCATCTCCAATAACAATAGCTTCTAATTACTGATTTTGAGAGTATTTTCATATCCTTTATAGAGATTTTTACACGTAGGTTAGCTCAGATTCCTTCCTAAGTCTGTCTCAGAGAAATGATACAAACACACGATCCTTCTCTTCTTGGCTCATCCATGCCTCTAGCAAAAGACCTGAGAATATTTGGTTCAGTAATTTCTCTAATGGGCTTGGAAGTATCACAGTTCTCTGCAGGATTTTGTCCTCACTGTTGAGCTTGTTTTCCCTTCTGGGAAACTTCTTTCTTTACAGAAAAACACATCAGCAAAATTTTTCTGGCTTTGCTACCTCTCTAAGCTTCCCTGGGCAGTAGTAAATACTTACCAGATCCACTAGAATTCAGTTTTCTGTCCTGGCACTGAGTCCTAAAGGCACTGCTTGTGGTGGTTTTACTGTGTCAACTTAGCTAAAGTGGAACTATGCTGCGCAAAAGTCCTTTCCCCAGATGATTCCAAGTGGGGACTGCACACAAGGAATTTTTGCATGCAGTTTGGAAGCCACGTAACAGCAGCAGTTATGATTTTAGTTCGGTGCAGGCCCCAGGGACTAGTCTTGTTAGCATGGGGCAAAGGCAGGGCATGCAGCTCCTTCAGCTCCCACCAGATCAACTGCTTCAGCTTCAACTAGTCCTGGGCCAGGCACATGCACAGCTCCATAACAAAAGGCACCGATTCTTTCATAGATCATCAGCACCACTGGAGTTAGACATCAGTGAAACACAGATCCAGGCTTCAGTTTGCCCTGAGTGTTCTACTTGTCTATTTCCCTCTGCTTCACAGCCAGCTTTTTTTCCCAACTGCCTGCCCTGCTGACCTACAACACCCTCAGGCCAGCCACAGCTCCCCTTCATGGTCCCTCGTTGGTGACTCTTCTACAGTCCCTACCCAATCTCCTTTGAGAACTATACTTGCTTACCCCTCACACGGTTGTGTAAAGTCTAAGCTTTGTAACAAATCCCTTATTCATACCACTCATAGTGGTTGTGCTTCCCAGATCAAACTCTGATGCTCTACTACCAAGTGTGCTGACAGGGAGCAGCATGACAAATGAACCAGAGGAATTCTACTGAAATCTCAGCTAGTAAATGACTGCAGTCAAATCAACCTTCCCTCAAGAGCAGTGGCAGAAAGCAAATCAACACACCTAACACACCTTGTTCCTAAGTCATCAAAAGTGTTCACATTTCTTATGCTTTCGGATCCAGCCGTTCCACCTCTAAGAATTTATCTTGAGGAAATAGCTATAATACTTTGATAAATTATTTGGTGAACCTTTCAAGGGACATATTTGAGTTAAAATAGATGGTCCCTGAACTGCTACATCAAGATGGTTAGTTACGCTGACCGCAGAACTTTTTGTTTTGCTGAGTGAGGGTACAGAGATGAATGGCTCTGAACTCTGGACATCATGGGGACATTTGAAAACCGTCTGCAGAAGAGAAAAAAGAGAGGAGAGGCCACTGTCTGGAAAGGAAAATGGGTTAAGCACAAATATCAAATGGCTAAGTTTCTAACTGTTTCTCCACGAAATATTCATGTCCTCTAATTCACAGTGGGGTTGGCTCTATTTGGAGGTAAGTCTGAGAGGGGAGACCCCCTCACCTCCTTCTGTTTCACCTCCTCCCTCCCCCTCTTCTAGATGGGAAGGAGAGTGAAAAAGGAAAATAAAATAAAATAAGATACCCACAAGCTGGGAAAATGACTCCCTTTTTAGTGCCCAACGTCTCTGCTATCTGTTAACCTTGAAAGAGCTGCAAATGAGTGTTATCTCTGCCCTGGAGCCCAGCACTGGGTCACGCCCCACATCTCCACGGACCAGGCTTCCTCCTGAAAACACCTCTGCCAACAAACAGATTGTTGCTTTTGTCTTGTCTCTGTAAGCCTCCTCCCCTGCTGGTCCCCACTCATGCTGCATATGAATTAGCAAATCAATGAAGCCAAAAGATTGTCAGATCAGAAGTTCAGCAAATGGACAATGACATAGTTCCACCTCAGTTTCCCCTTTAGCCTTGTAAGCCTATAAAAGGGAGAGAAGCTGCAGCTCTGAGAGCTCAGTTAAAAAGGCTATAGCCACCCCACCTTCCGCCCCGCCGTCAATTCCCGGCGGAATAAAAAATTCACTTCCTCAGTTCGGTGTTCAAGAGGTTTGCCCCCCACAGCTCCTGCTTCAAGTCAAAGCACTGAGTCCTGCTTATAAAAAATACACATAAGGCAAAAATGGGAAAAAATAGAGAACTGTGGGAAACAGTCTAGAGTTGAACAATTGGGAATTATTTAAATAAATTGTGTCATTTCTACAAAAAAATACTGAGATACCATCAACTGTATTGTAAAAGAATGTTTAATGACGTGAAAAAAAATCTTAAGAGAGCACATTTCAAATACAATGTAGACCATTAACCCAGGAAAAAGACAGAGTGACCACCGAATGCTGGCAGCTGCTATGGTACATGAGGCCAATTTTAATTTTCTTCCTTTTATTTACTTATAATGTCTTAAATTTCTACCATAAACATGTATTTCTCTTGTAACAGAAAAAGCAGCTGTATGCATATTTTTGTAAACTTGGTGAGGTTTATTGAGATGGAGCAGAGGCCCCACATTTTACGGGCCTATGAGCCCCCCCAAGTATGAAAATAAAGGAAAATCTTGAGTTCCTAGAAAGGGGAATTCCAGGTACCTTGCTAGCTAGCCATGAGAAGTAAATGAACAACTTGATAAGCAACAAGGTAATTAGTAGCGTAAAACAACAGCAAAGGAAGTTGGAGTCAGGAGACATTTGGTGTCGCTATCAAAACTAAAGGTAACATCTGAACATATGTCTCTGAGTTGTTTTACAGAAACCCAGACTCCCACCAAACAGAGCCAAGTAGACCCCAGATAAGAGGGAGCTGAGGATTGAACTCTGACCACCATTTTGTGTTCTAAATTTCTTCCTGAGGAATCTGGAGGGAGTCATACCCATGAGCCAAAGCTAACATTTTTTTTCTGCTGAACCCAAATTTTT